AGAATCATTCATTCTTTTTAATGGCTGTGCAGCATTCCACACTATGGATATATCCTACTTTATTCAGCCATCCTCCTGATTACTGGGCATTATGACTGGTGCCAGCTTCCTTTCACTACAATCTGCTGCAACAGACATACTTAAACATATGTCCTTATATATTTGCATTTCGAATTCTACAGAATAAAATCCCATCATGGAAATGCAGGATCAACGGATAAGAACATTTTAATAGCTATCCTCAAATTATTTTTCCAAAAGAAGCAATTCCACTTTCTGTTCCTGATCTTAGAGGAAAAGCTTCCAGCTTTTCAGCCAGAGTATATTAGCTGTGGGTTTGTCTTATGTGGACTTTATTATATTGAGATATGTCCCTTTTATACCTACTGTGTTGAGAGTTTTTATAGTAAAGGGATAAATTTTGTCAAATGCTTTTTCTGCATCTATGGAGACGATCATATGGCTTTTATCCTTAATTTTGTTAATGTGCCCCTTTTTCTTGTTTCTTAAGGTGGAAGCTAAGTCCACTGATTGAGACCTTCGTTCTAAACTACCCCCTTGGCGCCACTTTGGTGGCTTTCCGCAAACTCTGAGAGACTGTGTCCATTTTTATTCACTTCAACATGTTTTCTTCTGTGGCCGGTGTGTTAGTTTAGAAGTGTGTTGTTTAATTTCCAATATTTAGGGATTTCTAGATATCTTTCTGTTTTTGATTTCTAATTTTTTTTTTGTGTGTGTGGTTAAACAACACACTTTGTATGATTTGAATCCTTTAAATCTGTTGAGGCTTGTTTTAAGGTCTATCCTGGGGAATGTTCCGTCCACTTGAGGAGAACGTGCACTGTGTTGCTGGGCTGAGTGTCCTGTACATGTCTGTTAGGTCAAGTTGGTGTATAGTGCTGTTTGCCTCTTCTGTATGCTAATTTTCTGGCTACTTGTTCTAGTGATTATAAAGAGAAAAATACTGAAATCTTGGATTATAATCATAGATTTGTATTTTTCTTCTTGCAGTCCTACCAGTTTTCGCTTTAGGTATTTTGAAGCTCTGCCGTTAGGGCCATGGGCATTTAGGATTTGGGTCATTTCAAGAGGAAGGTTATGTATGGTCCCTGTTCTTCATCTTGGCCAGAAGCAGAAGTCTAAACAAGGAGCTTTGATTAAAGCAAATCCTTAAAAGCCATGTGATCGTGGGCAAGTTTTAAAGCTCCCCAAAATTCAATTTCCTCATCTCTGCCTCAAGTGAAAAAACACATTTTGGTTCCAATGACACTTTTTCCAAGTTGCTGTTCTCTGGTTCACTCCCTGGCAGGTACCCTAGCATCTCACTCCTAAGTGCCTGAGGTGTGGCTCCTGCGAGCGGTGGCCAATTACACCCAACCACCCCTGGGTTTTTTTAATGCTTTGGTTACAGGAACAATCTCTGGTGTGTGTAGAGGTGAAGGAAGATGGTGAAGAATCTGTAGGGGCAAAAAGGATAGCCAGCACAAACACCAAGCACAATGCCTGGCACATAGTAGGTGCTAAACAAATATCAACTGAATCTAAACAGCATAGTCAACTTTTCATTATAATATCTCATTTGCTCTTCATAACAAATCTGTAACACAAGAATGGGTATTACTATCTTCATTTTACAGATGACTTAGAGAAGTTAATTCACTTGCTCACAATCACAGGGCTAGAATAAAGTAGAGCAGGGATTCAGAACTGCCATTAGAGACCAAGGCCTCTTCCACCCAGTCCAATGTTCTTTCTAGATAGATGCTCTGGGTTATCTGCCTTATTGTAGAAGTTTACTAAATGAAAGCAGAGAGCTCTCATTTCTTGCACAGAATATAAGACTGGTAATGGTAACAGTCTCCTCAATGAGGTACAGATACTTTGACAGAAAAATGAGGTGCACTGACACCAACGTGGACCCACACTTCATGAGGACATTGACATAGCAAATACCCACCATCGTCTTCTGCAGCTGATCTACTGAGTGATTAGTCACATTTGTGCCATTGATTTCTAGGATCTCATCCCCGACGTGAAGGGAGCCTAACACAAAATGAAAAATCAGTCCACAAAAGAATAAATGTTCAACTTTGTAAAGTGTATGATTGTGTCTAACCCCTACACTGTATACCTGAAACTAATACAAAATAATATTGAATATAAACTGTAATTGAAAAAAAGTTTTTTAAATGTTCAAGTAAAAACTGTTGATATAACTCAAGATAACACAGAAAAGAAGCCATGATCAAGAGCATATTATACAATACATGTGAAAAATACTCAGGATTTTACACAATTCAGCCATGAATATTCTTTCGATTCCCTTGAGGAATGTATCAAGGCAAGTACTTCACAGTTTAAGATGATCTTATCCTCCCTGACCTCAGTACTCCAACAGCAGAATAAAAGCCCCTCTTCCTCGCCCTGGCTGGGTGGCTCAGTTGGCTGGACCATCATCTCGCACACCAAAAGGCTGCGGTTCGATTCCTGGTCAAGGGCACACATCTAGGTTGTGGGTTCGATCCCTGGTCAGGACACATATGGGAGGCAACCGATTGATGTGTCTCTCATATTGACACTTCTCTCTCATATTGATGTTTCTCTCTCTCTCCCTCCTCCTCTCTCTCTAAAATCAATAGACATATCCTTGGGTGAGGATTAAAAATAAATAAATAAATAAATAAATAAATAAATGCACCTCATCCTCAAAGCTCCCTGTAATTAGAGTAGCTACAGATCCCAGGAGGCTATGACACACCTGTACACACTGAAAATAACAATGCAAGGCAAAGGACACAGTGCTCCTCATTCACCTGCAAGTTTGATATTTCTTTGTTGTTTAGCTAAAACCCTCAAATGCTACGTAGTGGGAAAGCTAATCAGCGTTTAGATTCTATGCAAAGAGCACGTACCAATATTTGTGCCTCCCAGATACAAAAGGGTAGGAGCTAATGTTTAACATCTATTTTCTCAATTTAACTGTTAGCTCCAGGAGGTAAAGGTGGTGTGTTTTCTTCACTAATCTGTACCCAAATTCTAATGCAATGGGTTGTATATAGTAATTGCTCAAATATTAACTAACTGGAAAAATACTGGTATATATACATAGGTGTATAAGAAACGCTCAGAGGGAGAGATGGTGGCACTGGGCAATTCATATGAAGATCTTATTCCAAGAGTCAGTTATTAAGCCACAGAAAATCTCTAGGCATGCATACAAAACTGCTCCCAGTTTTGAAGAATATAAGCTTCATGTCCCCCACCACTGAGGTGAATGAAACACAATGTGGGAACCCACAGAGTACCTTGTCTGTGAATCATGCCACCGTGAAGAATTCTTGCCACCGTACAGGACTGCTTTTCGTTCAGCTTCAGAGTGATTCCCTGAAATAGAGACAATGGCACAGTACACTTTATTTCACGCTCTTTATGAGGTTATCTTAAAGACAATTTAAGGCAATTTCTCAGGAGGTATATTTTCCATCTATACCTGGGGTGGTTCTCAACTAGAACAGGCATGCTTTGAGGAGGAGCTTGAGATGGAGAGAGATAATATGACAGTTGGCTGCTTCCCTAACTCAGCCTTCTGAGTTTCCTCTTGTGGCCCAGAGACTTATGTGGTTGAGAGTAAGCAGTGGGTGAATATGATAAGGGGTTACCATAGGCTCCTCTGTGACCTTCTCGAACTGTATGAGTCGCACTTTCCGCATCTCCTGCCCCTTAGCCTGGGTAGGGCTACCTGGGGCAGCAGACCCATTGGTATACATGTCCTCGGTCACGGCATTCAACTGCTGCGACACAACCTGCCAGGTCAAAACAACAGAGCAATATATGAAGTAAACAGCGAAGGCCCTCCGTCAGTCTGTAACTGCAATTCTAAAACCCAAAGGCTCTGAAAACCAAGTTATGAGTTTGGCATCCAATCTCATTTAAATTTATGTGAAGCTTCTCTGTAAGCTTTATTTACCCAACTTAATAGACATGCTTATGCAGTTTGTTGCAGAAATATTAATGTGTTTGATTTATAGGGTGTTGCCCTGGACCTTGCTCGGAGAATTACATAAAATGTAACACAATTAGAAAAACTGTGATTTCTAATGCACATTGGGCCCCAAGAGCTTTGGATAAGGGGCTATGTACCTACGTGGGGCATACACACACATGCACATACTCTGTAGTGAAGATCTAGGGTGGGTTTAATTCATAATGGGAGGAGGCAGAGGGGAGAACTGCAGTAGGAATGCATCAGCAAAGGGGAGAAGTGAGCATGGATGACGAGGGCCTTTCCCATTCCAACAGTGAGCGCTTCTGCAGGCACAGCAGCAGGGGTGAGCATCGGACCCAGTTGTTCTCTTCCCCCTTTACTTCCTGATGCTCTGGGTCACACAGCAGTAAAAGTGATTCAGGTCAGTATCAATCTCTCACAAACCAGCTCTTAGGCTATAAAGAAGTTCTACCTGGCTCTGGCCAGTGTGGCTCAGTTGGTTGGGCATCCTCCCATGCACTGAAAGGTTCCTCATCAGGGCACGTGTCTGGGTTGTTAGCTCCATCCCCGTAGGGGGTGTACAGGAGGCAGCCGATCAAGGTTTCTCTCTCACGTTGATTTTTTTTCTTTCTCTCTCTCTCTCTCCCTCTCTCTCTAAAAAAAATCAATCAAAAACATTTTTTTTTTTTTTAAAAGGAGTTCTATCTGGACTGGAGAATTAGGCACTTAGGACCAGCTCCTGGACCATGATAACAATAATACCCACTAAAACCAAGTGGCTACCTGTAGATGAGATCATCACTACCCCTCCCACCATCTCAAAATGTCATTTCCACTGTGAGCTCTTCCTCCCAATCTTGATGACAGTAATGCCGGACAACTTACACTACTAGATAGCAAGACTTCTTTATTATAAATTGGAAGTGATCTAAGGCATTGTGGCATTGGCTGGAGAATAGATAAAAGACCCACTGCAGTGTAGTGGAGAGAGCATGGTCTTTGTAATAAATGGTGCTGGGTCAATCAGAAAAGCATATGGGGAAAGTAAATGTTGATTCCCACCTCATTTTATACACAAAACCCAATTCCAGATGGATTGCAGCTCCAAATGTGAAAAGTAAAACAACTAAGCTTTGAGAAGAAAACAGCATATCTTCATAATCTTGGAGTAGGCAAAAATATCTTACGTACAACAGAAAAGATCCTAACTGTAAAAGGAAAACTAAAAAGATAAGTACTTTACAATTAAGAAAAACTGTTCACTGAAAAACTTCCCTGATGTAGGCAAGGGCTGAGTAGACACAAAGATCAAAGGCTTAGTAAGCACAGAGAGCAATGAGCATTAAAACAAACAACTGACTTCAGCAAAATGAAAAACTTCTCCCCAAGACACTCAGGAAAATGAAAAGGCATAGCGCAGCAAGAGAGTAAAAATCTGCAGTATTTCCGTCTGACTTGTATCCAGAACATGAAAAGAACTCTTACAAACTCAATATCAAGATGACAAACAATGAAGGGTGAAAAGATAGACAAAAAATTTGAATGGGTTCTTCACCAAAGGTGACATGTGACCAGCCATAAACACATGAAGAAGGGCTGGCCTCGCTGTAATCAGGGAAGCACAGGATGCCGCTACAGAGCCAACAGGAAGGGTAAAATGAAAAAGACAGATGACACCAAGTGCCGGAACTCACATACACTGCCAGTGGGCATGCTAAATGGTGCAGCCACTGTGGAAAACAGTTTGGAAATTTCTTATATAAAGTTAAACATACAGTTACCTATGTCCCAGCCATCCCACTCCTAGGTATTCACCCAAGAGAAAAGAGAACAGATGCCCACCAAAAGGCTTGTGCGTGAATGCTCATAACAACTTCATTCATAATAGCTGAGAAGTGGAAACAACTCAGGTGTTCATCCACAGGGGAATGCATAAATCATTTGTAGTACATTCACATGATGCAATACTTCTCAATAATAAAAGGTTCAAACTGCAGATACATGCAGCAACACAGACGAATCTCAAAAGCATTGCTGAGTGAAAGAGGCTTTGTGCAGAAGAATACATACTATATGATACAATTTATGAGGTTTTAGAACAAGCAAAACTACAGTAAAAAAATTTAAAATAGTTGCCTCTGATGGGGTGGGAAGGGAAAGGCTGGGAAGGGGCATGAGAGAACTTCCTGGGATGCTGGTAATATTCTATATTGTGACAGGGTTTGGTGTTACATAGTGTATGTATTTGTTAAAACTCATCCATTGCATTTAGTGTATGTAAGTTCTATCTCAAAATAAAAATAACAAAAAGAACCATAAAGAAATACTGAACTCTAGCTAATGATATGCAAACTGAAGCTTTCAGGGGTGAAGCGTTCTGATGTCTGCAACTTACTAAGATGGTGACATTTGAAGTAGTGCTAGTTACAGGGTGGCCTCAAATGAGGGAAGTACTAAGAAAGAGAAACTGCCTTGTGTAGGAACTAGACTCATATGACACTGAGTCATATGACCTCGCTATTACAACAGAATTGCCTGAGATAGGGTTGTATATTTAGAAATCTCACTTCTGGTACCTGGAAGCACAGAACTCCACGTAACTTCAAGGTTCTCTATATAGATGGCTCAATAGTATAGTTAACACTGCATTTTGCGGGGGTATCCTGGCATACAGACACCATGTAGCAATGAAAAGGAGGTTCTGAGCTTAACCTTGAAGATATATTGTTAAGAGGAAGAAAAACCTGCAGAGAGGAAAGGAATGCTTATCATCAGCATAAACTGAAAAAATGACGTTCATATTTGCTTGTAAATGCATAAGCTATCTCTGAAAGGAGACACAGACAACGGCGGTTGCTTCTAGGAAGGAGAACTGGGTAACCCACAGGTTAGGGTGAGAAGGAAATTGTATTCACTGTGTAGCCACTTAAACCTTTGAAATTACTTACCATGTGCATGTGTTACTCACAGTTACTGCAATAAAAGAAATCAGTGAAAGTAAAAAGACAGCACAGGTTACAAATCTTAGGCATGCCTTTTAACAGAAATACACACAAACTCTCTGAGTTTGAGTCCTGACTCTTTTAACTAATAGCCAGGTAACTTTGGGCAAGTTTCTTGACCTCTCAGTGCTTTACTTATAAATGTGGGCTGTTGTCAAGATGCTGTGCAAGTCTGTCTGTAGGGGAGTGCTGAGATGCACTTGCAATCCTGAAAGACACTGCTACAGAAGATGTGCAGCATTAAACAGTTCATGTATGCCTTCAGTTTCAATTAATATCTATACAGGCAAATGAAAATCTATTATTCCTAAAAGCTCTACAAAGTACGATGCTTTCTATTCTGGTGAGACAGGCTTTTTGTAAGTGACTGTGATTCGGGTTCAAGGTAGCAGCCTAAGTACCTGTGTGCACCCAACATCCTGTTTAAACGAGAGCAAAGGGGGCAAGGAAATAGAAACACATTAAAAAACAAACAAACAAACAAAAAACATGAAGAAGTCATCAGGGATGAGAGATTTCAGTAACTTTCTAGAAGACAGAAAGCAGATGGGGGAATGGTCACTGACCAAGCAGAGTTGAGACAGCAGAGCCTGAAATGTGCATGGAGGAGGACCTGGCTGGGAAGAGTTGTGTCACTGCAGAGTACAACAGCCTGGGGCTCTGAAGTCCCTGTACAGAGAAAGGAAAAAATGAGCTTCGGGTGAAAACATCTCCCCCAAAGCTGCCAATCTAGACTTCAGTTCCACTTTCAAGGCAGGAAGAAGGAAAAAGGGCCAGGACAGCGGCAACTGTCCCAGAACTTCTCCAGTGGACATCTGTTCATGTCTCATCGGCCAGAACTGCAGAACACAGCCAGCCCAGGCTGCAAAAGGGGCTGAGAAAACAAGAACTGAGTTGGGCATCTTGCCATCCTAAACAAGATCAGAGAGGACTGGGATAAGCAAGAAGTGGATAAAGCTGTTGGGTCGGGCTGAAGCGTGGCTGCCCCCTGCAGACAGGCACATGCTCTCCAGGTCATTTTCTCCTGCTTTCTGGTATAGAAGCCAAGTGCTGGCTGCTGAGTCCCCTGCACCTGGGATGTTACTTTTCTTATGCACAAGCAGCTTCACTTTCCTGACCCAAGTAGGTTTCACTAAAAGCGCCTCTAAATGACTTTAAAAAAGTCATGTATGATGTAAAGGCACAGGCCCTTGAATAGCTGAAAAAATTTTGAAAAGGAAGACAGCAGAAGGAATCAGTGTACACAGTTTCAAGATTTCTATAGTTACAAGTAACCCAAGAATGTGTGGTATAGACACACAGATCAATAGAATAGAATAGAGAACCCAGAAATAGATCCACATAGATATGCCTAGTTGATTTTGACAAAGGTGCAAAAGCAGTTCATTGGAGGAAGGGTAGGCTTTTCAACAAACGGTGCTGGAGCAATCGGATACTCATAGGCAAAAAAGAAACACTAACATAAACTGCACACTGTATAAAATCGATCATGGACTTACATGTAAAGTGGACAACTATAAAACTTTTTAGAAAAAAGACATAGGAGACAATCGTCAGGATTCAAGGCTAGACAAAGAATTCTTATGCCTGGCACCAAAAGCAGGATCCATAAAAGGAAAAACTGATATACTGGACCTCTTAAAAATAAAAAAAACTTTCGCTCTGTGAAAGCCTGTGTGAAGATGATGAAAGACAAGCTATGGACTGACAGAAAACATTTACAAACCATACATCCAACAGAAGACTAGTATCTAGAATATATAAAAAATGCTCAATACTCAATAATAAAAATGATCTAGTTGAAAATAAGCAAAAG